ACGGCTAGCGCAGATAGCCCTCGTGTAGCTTTGCGCGAAATTCAAAACAAACAAAAATCTGTTTTTATTTCTGATATGACTTTAAAATGATAAGTGTATGAGATATATTGGTATTTGTATGGATTGCTTTATAAAGTCAGATCTTTGACTTGTGTACAAGCCATGTAATAAGTTGAGCTTAGCTGTTTAGGTTTTAGATAAAGATTACCAGAAGTAAATTACACATTATTGGAATTGCCAGTAATGATCAATTTGGCTTTGAAGTTTATTTTTTTCTATATGACTTTAAACTCAAATGCATTTACCTTCCAGAAAATATATCCTCCACAGTAAGTATTGTTATATACACAATTATCTTAAAATTTTATGGTATTCTAAATTCTTAGTTTATAAACATTATTGGGTTTGAAATAAAAATTTGATGAATTAAAAATATAAGATATTTACCAATCTCTCTCTATACAGTCATGGTTGTACAATAATTTATTGGAGAAATTTGCAACAACACAATTCAATATTGTGCATTTATTAATCAGAATTAACAATTGATACTGTACTTACCTTAACATGGATAATCTTACATGCACATTTTACAAGTTTTGAAAAACAGTAAATGCTAACATTATACCATGAATAACAAACTGGAAGTTGGACTGAGGTCAAAATTAATTCTTGTAATTTTGTATAATTTATGAAAACATTAAATGGAATTGCTTTCTTGTCCTGATTTTCTTGTGGAAAAACATTTTTAAACCTACAGCATATGAAATAAATTTGATAAACTCAGTTTCTAAGATATAGCAAAGATCAACTAAATCTGATTGATTCCTAGGGCATATCTTGCATGTGGGAAGTAGTTTAACAAAATGTGTTAAAACGTTATCAGCTTGCAATTGAGTGACAGTGTTGGTAGCCATGAATTTCACCGCCATAAAGTCCTGAGATACAGTTTGTTTTTAAGCATTTCTATTTTGGTTCTTTAGATTTTTTATGGTACAGATTAGGACAAAATAATTACGATACAGTAACTGCTGTGATATGTTTCAGGATAAAATATTGATCTTAAAAAGTATTAATTACCTCTTACATCCATCTTTTAACTCTGCTATTGTGACATATTTAAAAATGAATGTCTTGTTTTAAACTGTCACCTAGTTTTCATATAAATAAAAACAAAAGTATAAACATTGTTTTATTATGCCCCTAGGAAATTGTGGCCAATGTAACTACTACAGAAACAGAGGTGAAAGTTCAACGTCCAAATGGCCAGACTTTGTTTCCTAATTTTACTCGATATCAGAAGTACCTCTTAGAATTGGAGGCCAGACATCATATAGATAATACACATCAAAGTCCCCCTAAGGTGGAACTCTTTTGGAGTTCATCTGGTTCGGAAAATAAGGTGAGCTCAAACAAAGAAACACATAACTATTGTAGTATTTTGAACACAGTCTAGAATAGAATACTTTCATCAATAAAGTTGTCTTGTATCCCTTTTTTATCAGATAATGTTTTTAATATCATTTTAATTAGTTTCACTCTTGGTTAAATATTCTAGAAATATTTATTAAAAGTTTGAGTCACATTGTGGCAATCATTGTTTTTTTCTACTGTACTTTATCTAGTTTAACATTCACTATTGTCTAATGGGCTTATATAAAACATATTCAGCTTTTAATTTAGAATTTACACTAGTTCATTGACATGTAGATGGTGATATTAAGTGTTATTTTTTGTTAAAAAATAAACAAAAGCTGTTTAGACCAAGATGTATTGTGATAGTTATTATCTAAAAAGGGAATAAATTAATAAGATATGCAAAACATGGAACACTCAGAAGTCTAACATTGTAAGTGTTGCAGTAGTTCACTTTAAACATTATTTTTTTACGTATCCTTCTGGGCAATATTTGTTGTGAAAGCTTTTTTATGTTTTCTGCATATGACACTAGTAATGTTAAGTTTTTTTTTAAATAATTTAATTATTTCATATCTATAGCTCCTTAAGCTAGGATTTTAAATTAAAACCCAGCTTTGAATGTGCTCCCTGAAAACTTAATTTTATAGTTGTTTATAGTTATCTCATGTAAGCAGACTTCACTAAGCTGAATTTAGTTAGTGAATGATTATTAAAATTGGGTAGACTTATCCCCTAAACATTCTAAGCCTTTTCTTTTTAAGTAATCCACTTGGTTTTTGATCTTGAATGTTCTTGGTGCATTATATGCTTCACTATTCTGCCTTTTATATGATTTATTAAGCAAGCACTAGAGAACCTACATAAGTGCTGCTTTTCCTACAGGTTTTTTTCTTCTCGATAAATGTGATATAAACTTCATTTGCTCCACTCGTGAATTCTGAAGCCTTTGTTAACCCTGATGTTAACACTTTGGATAATACAGAAAATTCTACAACTCCTTCAGAGTTTGGAGGTCTTGTTCACACAGTCTTTTTGTAGTATGGAGGGGGATCCTGTGGCTGCACTGTCAGCTCTCATTGATCAGCATATTAGAGCTGATGATGTTGAATCATTTATTGGTGTCGCAGTTGGGTTTCCCTTTAGTGTGGGCACTCAGTTTGTGGATTATCTGCTTTTTTCATGTTGGTGAGCAAACCTAATTTTTTTTAAGGTCTGTTCTCCTCCGTTGACAAAGGAACAGGATTTGTGTGGTAGTCCTAATTGTGAAGAAGCTTATGCTAGTTCTACCTCCAGTGGGATCTTGCTTCCAGTGACAAAGATCTATTATCTCAACATATTTACCTTTGAGCGTACTGTATTCCAAGTGTGATGAACATTTTGACAGATTCTCTTCCATAAGATCATCAGCTTCCTATCACAGAGTAGATGGTCCATTCAGGTTTTTAAATTCATATGAGAATGACTAGGTTGTTCATTGATGTGATATCTTCACAGGGCAAACAACCATCTTCTTCTACTTGTATCCAGCTTCACTAACATTGGATGTCTTGTGTCAAAATTGGAAACAAATCTTTATGCATATCCTTATCTCTGCCTTCTTCCTCTGGTGGGGAGGAAGCAAAACATTCATTCCGCGACTAAGAAGTTAGCATAATTTCACGTATTAATATACTTGATTCTAATTTATTTTTAAATTCAATCTAACTTTATCAGTTATTTAGTTTTTGAAAAGAAGTATAAAACTGTTCAATGATAAAATACATTGTTACATATAGCAAAAATATAATTAATACTGCTAGTAGTTACAGTCTAGAAACCTATAAATATCTGATGCCAAAATATATTAAGTTTACCAGCATGGAAAATGTAAGATAAATAACGTTTATGATGTAATAACATATTTGGAAATGCATCAAAGACCCAAAAAAAGCTTTTGGAAAAGTATGTCCAACTGTATGGGTCTGTCTTAATGTATGTCAGATGTTACATCCATTTAGTGTTTCTAAGTGAGTAATATTTATGAGAATTTGTCATTTTTCTGTGGAAATATTCAACATTTTTCAATGAATATTTGTACATGTGTTTTGTAAAAAATTGTACATCTAGCAAATGCTGAAAATGTGTGTTCCCTATCTGGTAACTTTATAGATATATTCTAAGTGTTGGCAGTGGATTTTGTAATTTAGAAGAAATGAGCTGCTATGGTAGTACTTAGTTAGTCAGGTATGGTTAGAGCATCAGTAGTAACCAGATAATGTTATAAATGTAAAATACTATACAATTGTTTGTGTGAAACAAATCATTTAAGCATTAAATACTTAAAAACATAAAACAGTCATTTTGCACTAACAAATCTAGCTCTATGTTTACTTTCAGTGGTAGTGTTATAGGTAATAATTTTTTGTTCTCCAAAAGGGGAATTCCAAAAATAGTAAAATACTCTAATACCATACAGTTGGGAACATACTTCTGAGGTAGGAAAGTGTTCACAAGGATGCATTTTCATATCATCCCTAGAGGGCATAAAAATAGTGAGAATTTTAAAACTCAATATTGATCTGTCTCTCTGACAAAAGGAAAGATGGTAAAAAAAAGTCATAAAAATTCTTTGACTTAGTGAAGGAAATAAAAACAAAGGAACAACCACAGTTGTATGCTATTATGATTTTTAATGAAACTTAAGTGTTACATAATTAAAATTTATGTCAAATTACATAGAAATACAAGGAAGATGGTGTATTTTACACGTTTATATTAAAAGGAAAATATTAAGGAATTTTTTGGTTGATATGTCACATTTTACATAACATGCATTTTTATAATGTTTGGTTTTTCTGTGGGAAATGTGGTAAACTATACATATTTACAGCTCTCCCACTTACAGAAGAGTCCAGCATGACCAGATGGTTAGGGCCCTTTCAGCCATGGGGGCATTATAATGTGACGGTCAATCCCACTATTCGTTGGTAAAAGAGTAGCCCAAGAGTTGGCAGTGGGTAGTGATGACTAGCTGCTTTCACTCTAGTCTTACACTGTTAAATTAGGGACGGCTAGTGCAGTTATCCCTTGTGTAGGTTTGCACGAAATTCAAAACAGACAAACTTACAGAATAATTTCTTTACAATAATAACATGGTGTTCCGTGGTTGTTACAGGTGAAATTAAATTGTCGTGTATGATGTATAATGCTGTTTTCATTTGTCAACTGAATGATACATGACAGTCATAACCTTTTAACAAGTAACTGAATACGATTAAGTTAGAGGCCTCTGAGCTTCTGGTCCCAAAATTTTGTACTTGTAATCCTATAGTCTGGTTAAATGGAAATATGGAAAAAGTTTATATCATTGCATTCTCTCTACTAGTTTAATTAATATATTTGATTAAGTTACTTTTTATGAATATACAATCTTCTTTCTTTCATGGCAACAGGTTATTACACAGGAACATCTGGAACCTTACAGGAATGGATCATGTGGTAGCCTTTCTACTTGCATGAGTTGTTTAAGTGATGCTGAGTGTGGGTGGTGTCGTTCACAGAACCAGTGTTTGCATCGAAATAAAAGAGACTCTCGCAGATCCCAATGTTTCTACAATGAAGAGCTTCAGTTCTTAGTGTTAAAACCAAAAGATTGTCCTCTTTGTTCAGATTTCATTGACTGTAAGGATTGTACTCAAGTAAGTTTTCCTGTTGTAAATACAGTTCATAGTGTTAAAACCAAAAGATTGTCCTCTCTGTTCAGATTTCATGGACTGTAAGGATTGTACGCAAGTAAGTTTTCCTGTTGTAAATACTAAGATGCTGAAGACAGTGTCACTGTATTTAAATCTATTGTGAATAAAAGGTTTTGGGTGACTGTTGTATATGGAAGGAGAGAGAGCTAAGTAAAAACTCTGGTGCATCAATTAAACTATTTGAATTTAGAAAATCTTATTAAAAAAGAAATATTACTGATTTTAAAATAAGCTACATATTTTGGGAAATTCATAATTTTTGTACAAATAGTGATAAATGTAAGAACAAATAATTTAAGTGTCTAGGGATCATTAATGTTATATTTAGTTGTGGAATGATTGTTGTTAGGCATGCAAAATCATGGAATTCTATTTGCATGTGTATAAAAATTGTAGTTTAAAGAAAATTATTTTCCTAAAAAGCACTACTGTAGTAGTGAATAATACTTTACAAACATCAGAATGGCTGAAACTTAATTTCATTAGATAGGAAAAACAAGACTCAAAGAACTTTAAATTGGGACTAGTCAGTGTGTGATATGTCAACAGACAAAGGAAACATCATGATTACCTTGATAACTTTTCACCCATCAAAAATGATCAATATTCTGAATTACATTTCTTTTGTAAAATGATCTAAAAATGAAAGTAAAGTAAAATTAACCTTGTGTATATGGGTAGGTCAAAGTGTGCATGGCACAAACCTTTTACAGAATTACATTCAAAATGTATTTAATTTTAATTAATCTTAACATGAAAATCATCTTGAACTCAGTTAGCCCATTCCTCACGGGTCAAAGGCCATGTCATCGCATTTGTTGACTCAAATTTAAAATTTTATTGAACTACTATGTTATGAATTTATGTCAAAAAGTTTGGCATCAAACTGCGGATTATAATTCAAATTTCAGTATTATACATTAGTTGATTTCTTAATTTTATAAGTAAATGTAAAAAACACACACCTAAACATTGATTTTTTGTGTGTCATGTGTTATGTTGATTGCGGCACTGGTTCAGATTAGATGTTTATTATGTGAAAATACAAAATCTATAGTTTTGCACAAATTAGGAACTCCAATTACCTATATTAACAAGCTAGAATATCTTTTCTATTTGCTGAGATATTGCTCATGTATTGAATCAAACACAGTGGTCCAGCTCACTTCTTTCCATTTTTGGAAACGCTCCCTTATATACACTTACTTGTGTATATTCAAAGCTCAAAATTGCTCCCCTAGTGGCCTTCTCAGCCATTTTCAAATATTATGATGTTGTCACATTCTTTCAATACAAATCTTCATGCTGGTGAGGTGGGTTATTAGCGTGCTTGAAATTTCATATTTTTTTAAACCCAAATGCAGCTTAATTACTAAGCTTGATAAAGTATAGTGGAATTCTATGGTATCAATATAGTAATTTGTGTTTTTTTGGTTATTTCAAATGTATATATAAAAACCTAAAAATAATATTTTGTTTTAAATCCTCCATATGTGAAATTTTATAAGGCTCATCAACCTATGACAAGTAGCAAATGAGTACAAAGTTCATAACTAGAAGAGATAATTGTTTGCTTTACTTTATTCACTGTTCTATGTTTTAAGAAAAATAATTTGAAGAGGTTATTTGTAAATAGTAATAATGTATAAACATATATTATTTATAATAATTGAAATGTGACTATATTTTACCAAATACTAGTCCACTATAACACAGCCAAGACAGGTCACTTTGTAAAGACTAAAGGTCAGTTTTATGTTACTGGATATGGTAACATGAGTACACGTGTGCTGTGTCATTGTAACTTCTGTATTGCAAGCCAGACACGGCTGAAAGGTCAATATGATAAAAATAATAAATATATATAAATGTATAATGTTATGAGATTTAAGCTATTTAGTCTAAACATTTGTGTTTTCGTGTTATAATTTGTAGTCATTCTAGAATGAAAAAGGCATGATTTATATTTGTTTCCTAATTTTTATGGTGGTTAGAAGATCAGTCAAATAGATCAAACCTGTACAGAGATTCGTTATTGAAAATAACAGATGAAATATAAAGTTTTTTTTAAGAAACATTTGATAACTGTCTGGACATTATAAAGATTTTACATGTAAAGTTTGAATATTTTCTGATACATAAAAGTATTTTTAATCTTAAAATGAAAATTACTTTGTATGTTGGATAGGCAACATGCAAAAAGAAAAAAGGCATAAGAAAACTTGGCTTAACACATCTTGATACTTAATAAAAAAAAAATGATATTTTGCATATGAAAGCATTGTAATGTTTACTGATAATCTGCCAAATTTTGTGAATCTATGCTTACTAATTTAAAAGTTATAGCATGAAAACTATAACAAGCACAAAATGGTTACGAGGTCGGTACCAGGGACCAAGCCTATGCTGAAAGAGTTAGACTCTGACTACGTAAATTCACAGAAAAATCTTGAATAAAAATACGTAATTGAAAAAATCTGAATTTTTATGTACAAAGACTTTGTAAAGTTTACTAAAAGCTTGCCAAGTTTCATGAAGGTATACTTAGTACATTAAAAGTTATGATATGTATAGTTTCATGGTTACATGGTGGTTGCAAGATCAGTAAAAATGACTAAGTCCACCTACAAAAGGTTAAATCATCAAGTAAATTCTCCACTAAGATGCACAACAATTGTTTGATCAGTTTAAACTTATTATCTTCATGGACTTCATATTTCATGTTCATTGTACCTTTGCATCTTACTATTTATTTAATTAACAAATTTTACCTTGTGATGTTGTTAGGTTAACTTAATAAAAATTTCTTGACTTATGCCATTACTTTTTTTTTCCCTTTGCCATTACTTTTTTTTTCCCTTTGCCATTACTTTTTCCCCTTTCTTGGTGTCACATATTACTTACTGTACTTTCCAGTTTGATCAAATTTTTAATTTTTTTTTTCTCTGGAGTTAAGTTAAGAACAGGATTAACCCTTTCCCAATGGTCTCCTGCAATTTGCGGGAACCCAACTGGGGAATGATACATAAGCAACGAAACATACAATAACTCTAAGACTTCTTAACGTATCCTCACAAAATCTGGTAAGAAAGTATTATGAGTAACTTGTACTCTAAGAATTACATTATTGTGATTAAAGATTATAAGTAACTAGTACACAAAGAATGACATTACTTTTGATTGAGTCTTTCTGCTAAAAATATGTTATATATTCATTGGAGTTATTTGCACTCGGACTCTGAATAGTTTGAGTGCAAGGTGATTTTCATTTTAAGTATAAAAATACTTTTCTTCAACTTACAGTTTTCAAGTTTTATTTGCATAACCTCTTGAACCTCCAAAATGAATATCAAAAGTTTTTTAAGGTAAATGTTTATATTTTTCATTTTCTCTACAATATCACTAACTGTAGATATTATCATCAACATACAGTACAAAGAAATGTTTAAAATTAAGAAATAGAAAACATTTTCATACCTTTTGATTTTTCATAGAATATCTTAAAAGATCTTCTTTTGGTCATATTTGAAATTTCAGGTTTTTTTCCTTTTCAGATATGCTTAATTTTTAATGTTTTATTTTTTCCTTTTTGTCTTTTGCCATTAATTATTCATCTCAACACAAGTCAATGATGCCCTTGGGCCTATTACAGTATCTTTTGGGAGCGATGCACAAGCCTTCAGCAAAATTATCTTACACTCGTGCACGATCGTAATCCGTGAGAACTGGGGCAGTATTTGAAATAAATTTCAAATATGCATTTTAAAACATAAATAATACATGATTAACTAAGATATAAAAGTAAAACTTAAATGCAATTTAACTATCTCTAACTATAACACATATAAGAAACAACAGTAAGCGCTATCATGGACAAAGCAGCCAACAATACTTTTTGGCAGTTATGTCTACCTGATGATGACAACTGAGCACCAATTTCAAAATAACTATTGTTGGTTTATAGTTTAAAATGGGTTATTTTATAATGACCATATACATGTGTGTCAAGTAACTACATGTGACTTCTAAAGCTCAAGGAATAGTATTGAAGGTGGGTGTGGCATCTGTCAGGGGTTGGACAAATTTATTTTTAGTTTCAACAGAACTCAGGCAAAGATCTTTGGAACATACACGTCAATAGGGCAAGTAAAGCAAATAAATATACATATTGTCTAGACATACATCTACAGGACTGGGATTATCTTATTCAAGATAGAGAGCACGAAAGTTGAGATTTTTCATAGCTCATGGGTCAAGTAACAACACAAAACTGAAGTTTTAAGTATTTTTTTAAAAGTTTCTTTTTAAACACAGGAATTAAAACTTAGATAACATAAAACTTCTAATCATAACATACATTATAATGTTAATTTTATTAACATGCATTTGATAGTAAAGGGATTTAAAGGGGTACCAGTTGCAAAATTGGTTAAAAGCTCACTATTTAAAAATAGCAAAAAAAATCTGGTATGATGTTAACCCATTTTATATGTACTTGTAGAGGTCTGTGAATAGTAATTATGATTAATTAAACTGTATACTCACAGTTAATAAAAGATTACTGTTTGTAAAACTTGAGGGTTATATATATTACCATGAATTTATGGACAAAATTTTTCTTTTTATGAGATTCTGAATTTTTTTGCATTATGAAAAATGTGATGTATAAAAATCATCTCTCAACAGCATAAAATTATCTTTAACTTTGTGAACTCCAAAAAATATGAAAGTATTCAAGTTTGCATAGGAGAACAATAGGAATTCTCAGTAGATATCCTTTTTTCTTCTTTTCTGATGCTTGTTGAAAGACTGTGATATTAAGATGTCTAATGATGTAGAGCTATTAGTTTTAGTGTTTATAGGAGGTTTTATTAATACAAGTTCTTTATTTTAAAGATTATATGTCAGGTATATTACTCTTACTCTGGATGCTAATCAAAAGTTTGCATTAAAGCAACTGGCAAAATTTTAGTAGAAATAGAAATGATTTATTGAAGTGCGAAATAAAAGAATAATTCCTCACAAAACATTATATTTCATAAGTTTGTATGTCAATGTCCTTTCCATAGGTGTAGTTTTAATTGAATTATTTCTTAGTCAAGTTCTTTTTTTGTTTTTTAGCATTCTATAATGTAATGCATTGACCATTTAACAGCTCCTTAACAAGGGATAACTATAATTGTAGCTCAATCTGTGGAACTTATTTTAAAAGTGAATATATATATGCTCATTGAAATCCAGTTATACATAAAAAATAAATTTCATTCAAAAAATGGTTATACAGTTTAATTTTTTCTCTGTAAATCGTTTTATAAGTTCAGTACAAAATTTGTGAAGTGACAGTTTTAATGTACTTGCTTTTTTATAACTGTTTTTCTCTCTTTTTTTTTTAAACCAGCAATCACACTGTGAATGGATAGTAAAAACAGCTACCTGTGTGCGCATTGGAAGCAATGATAAATCTGTTCGTCATACGAAACTTTGTCCAATTCCATGTGAATTGTAAGAAAAACTTTATATGAGTCCCTTTTTTTATGTTTATAGTATGAGTTAAGAAATTAAAAACATAAAACATGAATTTTCTTTAACCTTTTCTTTGATTTCCTTGAATTATCAATCTCCACCTAGCAGTTAATGAAGAATTTCTTTTGAAAAACTTATATCAAAAACGTGGATGAGGGACAAACATATAGAACAATATTTAAAAGAACATGAAGGTTTAATATAACTGAACGGCTTCTTAATAGATTTCTCTGTCAGATTGAGTCGGCACCCGACGTGTCTCCATGCACCTCAAACAACAAGGTGTAGTTAACTTATTAAGGCTAATTCACATTCAGGTGGCATTAACAAGTTCTGTCATATGGGATGAGGAGAAACAAAAGTTTCTGAACATCCTGGGTTGTCTTTCAAACCCTGAAGGACCTGTCACAATTATGTTGTTGTACCTAATAGAAAAACATTGCTTCACTTGTAGAAAAATGTGATGTTATTGATGCTGGAACCACATACACGGAAACTGCTACAGAATCTCTGATAAAGAGAGTAGATGAATATCAAAAAGATAGTAGAAGCTCTAATCTTTAACACAAACTTTAAGAACAGAAAATAACAATTTGAAGATTCCACTGTTACAGATACGAGTTCTTTTATCATGGTTGTACTGGAACTTTATAGCACAGTAAATCAAACCAAACCACAGACCTATGAAGGCTCATGTTAATCATTTAAATGTCATCTCTCATCTAAGTTCTGTAGACAAGTTGTTTATTATTTAGAATTTAAGTTTATTAATATTTGTTTTGGATAAAGTAATTTTAAAAAAACAGTAGTGTTTGCTCTTATTTTCAATTTTTGTCCCTGTTCTAATTGTCAGTGAGATGGTGGAAATCATTAATTTCCCAACCTGCACAGATACAACTTCTGAGTTGATGAATTTGAGCCCCAAATCTATAAACTTTGCACTTGTTTGAGACTTATTTTTAGCTTAAGTAATGTGAAAACAGTGAATGTTTGAAGTTGGCGATGTCAAGCATTATAAAATTCAACTATCTGCATGTTTTATTTAACAATTTTCAATTTTCTAAAACTAATAAAGCCTTGGATATGTCATTTTAAAACTGTAATTATTTCTTTCTTGCAAACTGTCTCCCATTTTTCATTGTAAAGTTGTAAAGTTTCTTACTATGTGGTGCTTTTGTCATGTAATTAACTTAAATTAATTTAAAGACTTTTCTTCCATGTTTATTTATTTTATTGAAGTGATTGCTTTGGCAGTTAATTTTATGTTTACAAGAACTCAAGTTCTGTAGCTCTAAGCCATCATGAACACTTACATCATATTTTGTTCTTCAAGCAATGTTAGAAATCAAGACATAGTGTTATCTAAGTTAGTAAAAGGAGGACATCAGTAAGTTTTATGTATAACAACAGAGTAAAGTAAATGCTATCTATTTATATTAGTTTTAATGCTTTAGACAGTTTTTTATTGTACCATTTCTTTCAACAAAGTGAACTAGTACATGTCTACTGTAGTATATGTATAACTATCTTTTAGGTCAACTCTTGCATGGGTTATTCATAACAGTGTAGTAAGTAGTTGTATTATGTAGTTGTTTTTATTGTATTATAAATCCTAACTTGAGTTAAAAAAACAAAGTTATATTTTAAAAGGTCCCATAGTTATTATTCCCATATGTTTCAAGTGTCTGTTTCAGATATGGTGACTTTGGGATTTAAAGGGTTAATATCCACCATTAATATGACCTCTTTCTTACTTCTTTAAATATTACTGTTATTTCTTAATACATTAAGCATTTCAGAGTAATAAAAATTTTTGGTTTCCTTTCATATTCTAAAAGTGCAAAAAAGTAAATACATTAAATGGAATTAGTATGGGGCAAAAGAAAAACTTCATAAAAAAGTTTTTTTTTTATCTTTTAAGGCGACTCAACTGCACTTCTTGTCTTGGAAATCCTGGGATGTGTGCGTGGTGTGAACAAACACAAACATGTTTTATGTTTTCAACTTTTACAACATCTTTTATGTACGGTGGTTGTCGAGAATGGGTAGATGAGGATGAGAACCGCAGGTGAGAATGTAATTAATTACTTCCTCTTCCTGCTTTTTATTTTATTTATTCCTTTTGCAATTACAAATTATGCTAACATTTGAAGATAGAATCTTAAGACAGAAATTCAACATTTTACAACTTATGCTTGAATAATATATAAGATTTCTGTTTTGATTCATCACTCTTTTAAATTTTTTTGGGGAGGTGGAGCATGTGGTGAGTGTAATAAAGTGGTTAATGTGCCAGCCTATGGATCTGAGGTTCCTTGGTTTGCATCTTGTTACCGACCAGCCTAGAAAAAAATGAATAATCTTGCTTTGCATATTGGGACTGTGGATGCATTATAAGAAAGATTATCAACTCCAACTATTTGGGCTACAAAAGTAGCCCAAGAGTTAATGATGGTTGGTGTTGACTAGGTGCCTTTCCTCGAGTTTATTAATTCAAAATTAGGGACAGCTAGTTCAGATAACCCCTTGTAGCTTTAAGCAAAATCTAACAAACAAACAAACTTATTAGGTTTTATAATTTTTATTACATTCTGTTACTTTTTTTTCCTAAAGATTTTTCATTCAGCAATGATAATTCTCATTCTTAAAGGGTTTGTAGTTTTGTTTTAGATATAAAACAAACTTTCCATCTTTTACAGATGATTTAGAGAGACTACTCATGATGAACAAACAAAGGTTAAGTGGGCAGCAACTGCCTAGTTCAGAATGATGCTTGTAGAGAAAACTTTGAAGGACTAATCTATAAAAGTATTTCAGGTAGAAAATTTAATGTTTCAAAAGCTGTTCATCTTTTGTCTACAGGTCAGCTTGCACTGGTTTTGTAAGGTTTTATATCTGATCTTGTAAGATTGAAATGGATATGGCGTGATTGGCTGGTGGTTCTTGTAATGTGGTTGAGGGAATGAGTGGTAATTTGACCAATGGTAACCACAAACTTCTGATTTCCATGCTTAAGTCTCTATTTAACAGTAGTTTAATCATGTTGATGTGGAAAGATTCTTTGGTTTATCTTGTTTTCCAGAATTTATCCCATCAGTATGGCATGTTTTACCATGGCTGAATTCTGTGTTCTCATCAGTCTTGGGCTGTCTATGTTCTTTTACCCTTGCCATAAAATATCTTCCTGTTTCTTTAATGTAAGTTTGTTTGCAAAAGCAAGATATTTCATCAATTATGTTTACGTATTCGTTGTCAGTTGTTCTTTGTGTAGTTTTGACAAAGATAGATCTGATGTCCACTGGAGATTTTACAGAACACTCAAGATTGTTCTTGTCAATACTAACCAAAGAAGAACTGATAAACATAAAAATGTCATGAGTGTTCTGTAAGATATCTGGAGGACATTAGATCTATCCTTGTCAAAACTTAACAAAGCAAAGCATGCATAATTTGCAAAATATCTTGTTTCTGTAAACAGACCTATATTAGAGAAACTGAGGGTAAAAGAACCTAAAGATAACACAAAATTGATGAAGACATAGAATTCAGTTCTGGTAAAACATACTATGTTGATAGCATATATAATATACTGAGAAAATTACAGACACATTGAATCTGATAAATTCTGCAAAACAATAAAAATCAACGTTAATTTTTCTTCATCAATACAATGAAACCATTGCTAAATGCAGAGTCAGGCCTGGCAATCAGCTATTTGTGGCTAACATTAGTCAAATCATTACTCATTCCATCAACCATGCTGCAAGAACCATCAGCTATTCATTTAATATCCCCTTCAATCCTTACAGGTACCACATAAATCCTTGCAAAACCAGTGCAAACAGACACAAAGATGAAAGATGGTAAATTTTTCAAACTGTCACACTTTTTACCTGAGCTACTTTTGTAGATTAGTCCTCCAAGACTCTACAAGTATCATCCTGAACTAGACAGTTACTGTCCATTCCACCTTTATTTGATCAAACTTTCCAACTGTCATATGAAAGCCAGTTTGCCAAATGCTGATTCTTTTCTTAAATTCTTGTTTAACCCTTTCGATATGGGTCACAGGTGAAAGGCCATGTCATCTCGTTTGTTGACTCACATTCAAAACTTTATTGAACTACTATTTTATGAATTTATGTCAAAAAGTTTGGCATCAAACTGTAGATTATAATTCAAATTTTAGTACTATACATTACTCAATTTGTTAATTTAAAAGTAAATATTAAAAAACACAGATAAACATCAATTTTTGTGTGTCACATGGTATGTTGAATGCAGCACTGGTTCAAGTTAGATGTTTGTGATGTCAAAATACTAAGTCTGTAGTTTCATACGAATTAGAAACTCAAATTAAAGAAATTGACTAGCTAGAATATAAAATAAGAAGGTCTTATCTTTTCTATTTGCTAAGATATTGCTCATATAATAGATCAAACATAGTGGCACCCCGCTTACCTCCTTCCATTTTTGGAAACACTCTTATAAACACTTACTTCTATATATGACATGAATAACCAATCGGAAGCTCATAATGGCCCTCTAGTGGCTTTCTCAGCCATTTTAATGGGCTTGGCACCATTTCTTTCTTTTGAACCAATATTTCAATGACGTAGGATATTTTTTCATATTGTTTTTTACTAAAATACATCTTAGTTACTAGGCTTGATAAATTATAGTGGAATTCTATGGTATTAATGTAGTAATTTATGAATTTTTAGTTATTCAAATGTATATATAAAACCTAAAAAAAATATTTTGTTTCATATCCTCCACGTGCAAATTTTTTAAAGGCTTAGCAACCTACGTCAAGCAGTACAAAGGTCGTAACTAGAAGACATAATTGTTTGCTCTACTTCTTTATTTACTGTTCTATGTTTTAGGAAAAATAACTTTAAGAACTTATTTCAAAATAGCAATAATCTATATACATATATAATGTATAACAATTTAAATGTGACTGTATTTTACAAAATACTAGTCGACTAAAACACAGCCAAGACAAGTTACTTTGTACAAACCAAAGATCACCTTTATGTTATTTGATACAGTAACATGAGTGCACGTGAGCTGCATCATTGTAACTTTTGTATTGTTAGCCAGGCATGGGTGAAGGGTCAATATAATAAATATATATAAATGTATAATGTTATGAGATTTAAGCTATTTCGTCTAAACATTTATGTTTTTGTGTTATAATTTGTGTTCATTCTAGAATAAAAGATGCATAATTTATGTTTATTTCCTCATTTCTTATGGTGGTTGCGAGATTCGTCAAATTTACCAAACCTGTACAGAGATTAATTACTGAAAATAACAGATAAAATATAAAATTAATAAATTATATTGGACATTATAATGATTTCGCATATGAAATTTCAAAATTTTCTGATGCATAAAGGTATTTTTAATATTAAGATGAAAATTATTTTGCATGATAGATAGGCAAGATGTGAAAAGAAAAAAAAAGGCATGAGAGAAACACTGCTTTACAAACCTTAAGACTTAATAAAAAAAATTAGATACTTTGTGTAT